AGCGAGAGTTGATTACACGTGGACTACTTAGTATAGTGATCATGTGGTGACAGTGGTAATTGTGGCAGAAGTGGCAAAAAAAGGGATTCATTGATGAAACTAGAGAAGGCCTAGGCCATTCCTTTTGTAAATTCTGCTCAGGTGTACCCTCCCCAAATATTTTGTATCAGTTTATTCTGAAGGCACAGGGACCCTGGTGCCTCCAGCTCTAGGCATCCTCAGTCTGTGAGGAGCACCCAGGATTCGAAGCCAAAAGCCCTAGGTTTAGGTTCTGGCTGAGCCACTCAATATCTATATGACCTTGGGCAAATCACTGAGCCTCTCTGAACAGCACCTGTACAGTGAGTGTAATTCCCACCTCACAGGTTTGGTGTGAGAATCATGTATCTGCTAAAGCATCTTGTTCGTAAAAAAGCTTTTTTATGAATAGCCCACATTTATTCTTGGGGAAGCCCTAACTCAAAAGTTGTCAATTACGACAGCTGTGGATTAAACTGGATTCCTTTTTTCTTCACTCATCTTAGTCTTTCTGTTTAGTCAGGCCCGCTTATAGGGGTTAGTGATGTTGAAATAAAATCACCAGATTTTGGTACCCTTTGGTCAAAGAAAGGGAAGTCCCGTGTCCAGCTGCTCCATCCATAGACTCATAGGCAGAATGGAAGTAAGCAAAGGCAAATTTTAAGCCAAGATAGTTCAGAGTTCAGGGGCCAAGGGGAGAATGCTCACCTTGCTTTCTCAACTCCAGGATGACTAAAACATCTTACGTAAATGAGGAATGGCCAAAAAAAATGCTTAGAGATCATTTAGGTCATGAAAGGGAAGTGGGAAAATGTGCTTACAGACACTTCCTCTCTCCTATCCCTTTGGGGTCAAGGACAGGCTATTAGTGACTCCCTACTAGCTATTGCCTGAAACCTGCCAATCACCCAAAGAGAATAACATCTTCTGGGAAATTTCAGTTCAGTGCAGTAACTGTGACATACATGCCCTATGAAGCTACTGCTTGCTCCTCTCCAATACCTCTCTTGGGGAGATCATCTCTGGAAACCCAAAGCTATCCTGCTTTCTAACCTAACGAGTTAAACACAATAACAGGTCCTGAGCAGTAGGAGACTGCCCCGTCATCCATAGCACATAGGGCACAAGTCCCACTATCTCCAGACTGAACCAGCCCTGAGAAGTCTCAGACCCTTTGCTTGGGTGCTAATTGTCCATTGTTGATCCCTTTCTGCCTCCTTCTCCTGCCACCCCCAGTGGATAGGCGGTCCCTAAACCAAACAGCTGCCTGCATGTTGATAATGTAACTTTTTAATATTCCTTGGTTATCACTGGATGACTAGAACAAGGGAAACTATGTGTGTGTCCACATGTTTGTGTCTGTCCGTATATGTGCACCTCGTGTGTGTGTATCCTCACAGTTGTGTACAGACTGATAGGAAGGACAAAGTGCAAAAAGGAAGCATCTCTTGTTTTCTAACATTGCTTTGAAGATGCCCAACCCCCATAGTAGCAGGCAATTCCTAAGTGGAGGGTGGGGGCAGAGGCCTCCACCAAGACCATCAATAACCAGGTGTGAGCTATAGGTCTCTGTGTAATGTGAAGCTCTCCCGTATTTCATTTCTGCACCCAGGGGGCGGCTCTGCAGAATTGCTTACGGAGAGCTCTGTGTCTGGCACCTCTCTCCACAAGGTCCAGGCGCCTAGGGTCCCACCAACCTGCCTAGGAATGCATCACATTGTTCTCTGGTGCTGTAACTTGGCTGCAGGAGGGAGGCCGATGGCCTCCTGGGGATGAGAAACATATTCTCCCTGGCGTCCTCCTTTGGGCTTCTGCCCTGTGACCACTGAGGGCACTTAAATAAAACCTCAGAAAGGCAGAGGGGAAAAAATCCTAATTATCTCTCTCATATTAAGCCAATGTTCTGAGTGGGTCTGAGAATTTGGCAAGGACTTAGCGGTTGGCGTTCTTGCTGAGGGAGGTGAGAGAAAGGGGAAGAAATTACTCTCTGCAACAGGGAGGAAGAGAAATGAAGCAGTGAGTGGTCATGAGTCAGACCTAAGGCGTTTTGCAAACAGACCCTCAGGGCCAGGCCATGTTTGATTCTTTTAAATAATCTGAAGTCCCTGATTGCATTTTTCCAGCATCACTCTAAGGGAGAGTATGGATTAGTGCTGTTATTCGAGGTTGGCAGTAATACAGGTTGGCTCTTATCTGGAGGGCACGGTTAAGGCTGGCATCTTTACTTTCACACAAGAGAAACTGGCCTCAGGTTGTGCAGCCAAGCTTCAGTCAAATGCCTTCTCTAAATCATTCTAACATCCTTAAAGGATAGAGATAATGTCTGTTCAGTTAACTTTGTATCCAAATAGCACTTTCTACCTGCATTATACCTAAACATTAAAAGTTAAAAGAAATAAGGACCAATAGGAAGGACCAGAAGAGAGGAGAGGGGCAAAGAGACCGCTGGTCTGAGGGACAGACCTCTGTTGATAGGGGAGGGCTCTCAAGAAGGGACGATTAGAGACAATGAGTGAGCAGCAGCAGAACTAAATGGAGCCCTGACTACACCAAATAAAGTTCTCATTTTGCTGCTTGTTCCAAATTAGTTTCTGTTTGTGTAGCACAGAATGGACGCCAGTTGTCTAAAGCCAATCGGAATGCAGAGGCAACCTAAGGAGTAAGAGGAAAAGTTAATTGCTTGGCCATCATTCCTTCTTGGAGCCACATAACCTCCATGGTGAGGCTTACGTGGACCTCTTTTCTCTCCCTCTCCACCTCACTTTTCAACCACTTACTCTCTGGACAGTTCACTCATCTCTTTAACTAGTTATAGGAAAACACAAAACTTGGGTCTTTATGAATTAGAATTTGGAGCCCAGAGAAAAGCACAGAGCAGTATTAGATGCCAGAAGAGGCCCACTTCCTTCCCCGAGGTAAGAACCAAAAAAAGATAGATACTAGAGCACAGGTAGATTGGGCTCAGGCTGATTTCCCATGAAGACCTATGCTGCCATTCCTGCGATAGCCTGGAGGTTCTTGTGAGGGCAAGGGTTGGCTGGGGCCTGATGCTCTTCCCAGCAGCCCTGCACACGAGAGGCGCCCTTTTGTAAATTCATTCAGCTCCATTCTTGAGTTCAGACAGACTCTAACCCTCTTACCTTCCTACTACTCTAGGGCTTTCCTCCCCTTAATCCCAGCTCAAGATGTCAGAAGCTCTTCTCTTCCCCTCCCATTTCCCCCTCCCTAATCCCACCATTGGCTCATCAGTTATCCAGTTGACTCCACTCTGCAAGGAAGACATTCCCCTGGCCTGACTCACTCAGTCCTATTTCTCCACAGGAATCCCCTCACCGCAGACCACAAGGGCCCTGACTAGCTCATGTTTTGTGTTAATGGATGTGAAATCGGAGCAAACCCCCTCGCCAAAGGAAAAACCACCCCAAACTCTCCCACACAGGTCTCAGCAGGTTACACAAATATTAGTCCTATCATCCAAATAAATCTGCCCCCATGGCCCAGAGCTATGGCTCCCTTCTGCTGCCTGTGCAGAGTGAAGCTGTTCCACAAACATGTTAGGACCCCAAGGGATGCTGGAGAGGAACTTGGGAAGGGGGGCGGGCACAGCTACGTTCAGAATTCCTTGTGTAGGCTCCTTAATCCACAGCCCGCTGTCAATACTTTATCGCTCTAAGTTGAAGGTTCTGAAGTAAGTCAGGATGAGCTAGACCAGTGAGGGGCGTTGGTAAGAGTGTCTGTTGGCTGGAGTTTGAGGCATAATTAAAACTCAGTATCAGATAGCTTCATACCCTCATTTTGCAGATGGGAAGATAGTGGCTCAGAGAATTTGAGTATATTGCTTAAAAATACCCAAAAAAGCTGTGATTTCAACCCATGTCTGTCAAAGCGGCAAATTTCTACACTACTCTGCTCCTTTAAAGTATCAACAGACAAGAGATAACCACTGTTCAAATCACATAAAAATGGGACATCCTAGTTTTGGGGATTCTGTGTCATACCCTCTAGCTGTCTGCTATCTCTGGAGACTCAGCCACTGCAAGCTTAGTTGGACAGCGGGTAGTAGCATAGAAGGAACTCCCTATTGAAGCCAAACATGGAATGAACGAGTCACCAGGGCTTGGAGAGTCACTAAATAAAGGTTTGTTGAATAAATGGGGAAAGGCTGCTTTCTAAGCAGTTTACCACCTTGGCCAGAAGGCCCAACTCTCCTTCCTTCTGTAGTCACTGGATCCCACTCCCAGCCTCAAAGTTTGTGGGGATCTTCTCCCCGAAACTATCAAAGCCAGAGATCTCTACATGCCCCCTGTATACTGGTTCTTAGGGGGCCCCTTGAGATCAGGACATCTCCCCTCTCCCGCCTCCACGAGTCGTGTTCTCAGTCTTTCCTCAACTTGCTGACACCAGAATGGTGCACAGAGAGTTTAAAAAAATAAAATCCCAGGGCCCAGACAGACTCCCTAAATTCCCCTTCCTCAGGATGTTTCCAGGTATTCTAATGACCTGGTGGCATGGGTACCACTGCATGCCCTCAATTTGAATAGGCAGCAAGTGAGCAAAAGGGCCAGTGCTGTCTGATACAGACAGACAATGAGAGAGAGACTGGAAGAGAATGTATGTTTGTATAGTTATATAATTTTTCCCTTACAAAAACACAGCAGTTGATAAACATATGAGCATATGAACGGAACCATGTCCACTGTGGCTAACTTTCATCTAACTCTCAATAATGGGAGGATGTTGTAGCCTAAGAGTTTCTTTTGGGGTACCAGGCAGTCTGCGCAAACTGACCCAGGGAAGAGATATGTGGTTTCATCTCTGTCCGTCCACCCTCAGCCAGGTAGGAGCGAAAGGAAACTCTCTCCAGGTACCTTTCCTCGTGCGCACACGGAAGTGTCAGGAAGCCAGTGCAGGGGAAAGGGAACATGAGCCTTGATTGCGAGCTTTAGTGCAACGCACTTGCTCTGAAGACTCTTCTGACCTCCACAGTAGGCAGTCATGGAGCTGCTCAGTTTCTCACATTCCCTGTCAACTCCCCCTCCTCCCCAGGGCTAAGGAACCAGCCAGGACACCAGAGTCCCCCTGGATTATGCTCCAAGTCCTTAAATAGAAGCTGTGGCAGCCCAGGGTTGAGGGTGGAAGAAGGTGTGCATGCAAAGATCTTGTGCTTTTGAGTCAGGAGGTTTGAAGTGGAGGGATGAGTGAGGTATTTATATGTTCAGGTCTGGTCCAGCCATTCTGCCTTCTTGGGGGCCTTGCAGGTATGGACGTCCACAGTGTTTCTGCACTCCTTGCACCGCACGGCACAGCACCAGTGGAATTTGCACTCACACTGGGTGACACGGGTGACTCGAGTTGTGTCATAGCCTCGGCCACAGCACATGATTTCACAGCCGTCTGTCCCTTTCGATGTCTTGCTGCAGACACGGCCTGCAGTGCCCAGGGAACCTGGGTTGGGTTGGGGGGAGAACCAAGTTACCACTTACTCTCCTCAGATGCCCTGGGTTCCCTTACCCACACCCTCATGAGGAAACTCTAAGGAATCTCTTCTCCTGAAGACATCCCACTGGCCAGCATGGCCCTCTCCACCCGGCCCCTGTACCAGGCTCGTGCCCCCTGCCGCTGAGGCTGCCCAGAGACTGCTGGCATTGCCAGCAGTGCCCCCTCTGCCAATCCACATTTCCAGAGCCCCTTCAAAACCTGGGCTTGAATGTGTGTGACTGTCAAAGCTGGGGGAAGACTCGCTATTTTGTTTGAATTTTTCCATAATAAGACGTTTTAAAAAATAGCCTATAATTTATCTTTTCCAGGAAGTCTTGCCACAACTCTGATCCAGCTACCATTAGCATTTTGGTCCTTAGTTTGTATCTTATGAAGTTGTACTATGCAGGGAAGAAGTATAGTATGGATGTGAAATGCAGGGGCCTGACATCAGAGTGTCTAGGTTTAAGTCCCGTGTCTGCCACTTGTTAGCTATGTGACTTACAAGTCAGTTAATCTCTCTGGGCTTTAGTTTTCTCATATGAAAATAGGCATGATAATAGCATCTAACTCAGTGAATTGTTATGTTATCTCTATAGTCTCTGTTCAACCAACGAGGTGAACTGAGTAGCATGACTAGGGGGAGGCATACCCCTAAGGAATTTCTGAAGAATATCCCTTGCCTTATCCCTTACAGTGGGAACTCTTGAAGGGCAGGGATGATGTCTTCCCCATGCACAGAGAATGCTCAGGACCTCCTTCACACTGACTTTGGCAAAGGAGATCCTGCCAACAATCATAGAATGATAGAATTTTGGATGGGATGTATCCTAGACAGTATCTTCTCCAACCCTTTCCCAGAGATGGGAAGGTGACTAGCCTAGGAGTTCAAGAAGGGGGAAAAAATTAACTGATTTCTGTAGCAGCAGTCTGCACATTCCACTGGGATATGGGAGGAAAATGCTAGAACTTCTGTATTTGTTTTTTATTCCATCAATTTAAAAACATCTATTCTGTATTGTGTTTTATAATGTACATATTAGTACAGTGGAACCTAGATATAATTTATAAGTAAATATACATATATGAGAGGTGCATGCTCAGATTTTTTAATGATAGGCATATATAATCCAAAATGTCAGGAGAGCACTGCTCCAAAGTGACTGACTAAGTCTTCTATGTAAGCTGTTCACCTAACTGCAGGAGCTGGGTCTGAAGTCCTTCATGTGCATGAGAAGCCTCTTCTCCCCTCTGGAGCTGAATTATCCAGTGTAGTAGCCACAGGCCAAATGTGGTCATTTAGATTTAAAATAATTAAAATTAAATAAATTTTAAAACTTAGTCCCTTGGTCACACTAGCTGTATTTCAAATACTCAATAATCACATGTAGCTAAGTAGCTGCTTTAGAGAGCACAGACATAGAACATTTCTATCATCACCGAAGGTTCAGTTGGACACTACAGCTTTGGAGGGAATTCCTGGCTCCATATTCCCTTTGGGAAGACTTGAGCCCTTTGAATTCCAGACCCCACTTTGGATTTTATGAGACTTAATTTTATGCCTCTGAGAAAAAGTAACACACATATGACTCACCTCCCTCCTAATTCCAAAGACCCTTCCCCCCAAAAGGTGCGTGTTAGGTGTGGTAGCTGGCTAAGCATGTGATGGAATGATCGGATGTGAGGGCATGATTTCCAGGTATTTGGAAAGCAGTCCTCTCAGTGTCACCGCAGGAAATCACTGCGAGAGTCAGACGGGCTCCATTGACCCTTTCGTCTTGGCACCCTTCAAAGTGCACAGGCTGTTTTCTCTGTTGCATGGGTAAAGCCCCACCCCGTTTCTGTGCCCAGTTTTACTCCAAACCACGTGACTCCCCCGGAATGACAGTGATGGCTGAAAAAACAGTACTAGAGCCCTGACCAGTGTGGCTCAGTTGGTTGGGTGTCGTCCTGCAAAGCAGAAAGTCACTGGTTCAATTCCCTGTCATAGTACGTGCCCGGGTTGTGGGTTTGGTCCCCCATCGGGGCATATATAAGAAGCAACTGATCAATGTTTCTCTCCCTCTCTCTCCCTCCCTTCACCTCTCTCTACAAGTAAATAAGTAAAATCTTAAAAAAAAAAAAAAAAAAAAAAAGGAAAAGAAAAAGAAAACAGTACGAAAGACAGCTGAGGTATTTTTACTTCACTTCACCCAAGTCCTGACTGCTGAATCTTTAGAGAAGAGTCCATGGCAGTCGCCAGGGGAAGAGCCATTTTGGTGCATTGCATGTTGTTCCTAGTTTACCCTATCTGAACCTGAAATCTGAACCAAGAAGGTACCCTCCATACTTTCAGGGTAATACCCTATCACCTTCCAGTATCCCCAAGAATTCCACCACAAATACCCGTCACAGATATTTGCTGCTTCCTGCCAGTGGCCAGCCTTGGTAGGTAGCTCCTCTCTCCTTGCTTCCCCATTTTAGAGTGTTCAATGGCAGCTCACTGGAAAAAGCCTTCCAAGGCCATTCATGGTCTGATCCCAATTTATCCTTCTACTTCTAATCTCCCTTATCGGAAATCTTCACTTAGTCAGATTAATCTACTCCCTGTTCCTGGAACAGATCATGTACCACCTACCATTCTGCTTCTGCACAGACAATATCTGCCTGTTCTCTTGGACTATCCAGATAATCCCCACACTTCGAAAAACAGCTTACATTCCACATTTTCAAATCAGCTTCTTGATTTCTCCAGTCATCTCTTTTGCAGTTGCATCTGTCTACCTGTTACATGTCATTTCTTACCTGGGTTGCAAAAAGCCAAAGCCTTAAGGCTGTATTTTAGGCTTCTGTGTAGCCCACACATAACTCGGTACTGAGAACAGAAGAGAACAGGATACTCGTTTAACAGTCACTGAGAAATATCTATCACTTTGTAAGTCATACAGACCTCAGGCCTGAAGGACCTGAGTGGCTTCTCTTCTCTGCTTGGGCAGCCCTGGGCCTGGCACCGAGTCATAAATCATCAGTCTTTGTCCAAGGTTTTCGAGTCAGGAGAAGACTGACTCTTCCTACAGCATCCCCTCCCTAACTCCTGAGGATGAGCAAATCGTGACTACTCAGCGGTGCCAGTACTAGGTCTCCATGTCCCCACCTGCTTTCTCTACTCACCTGCAGCCTTGTCCAAGACACAGTAGTCTGGGGAGTTGTCAAAGTAGACAAGGTCAGTCCTGGTGGCACGGCGATAGCCTTGGCGGGCTGCTGTGAAGTTGGCGCCATCCTGGGTAGCTGTCACCTGCACAGCCCCATCATAGCGCCGCCGCAGGTAATCACCTGTGCGGCGGAAGTCTGAGAGTGCGCGCCAGCAGGTGCGTAGAGTACAGGAGCCACTCACACCATGGCACTTACACTCCAGCTTCAGAAACCGCCGCACAGCCTGGGAGGGGTGCACGTAAAGGAGAGGCAGCCAGTCAGGGAACTTTAGTCATCCCTAGGACTAAAAACACGAGTGCTCTCAGGTCTGTAGGACCTGTCTTGGCCGGCCATTCATTGTTCTTTCCCCCATCAAATCCCACCCATTCTTCCTAATCAAAGTCAAGAACCTCTTCTTCCAGGAAGCCTTCCTGGATCAACAATGCTCTCCTTTTCATGACAGGCTGTTTGAACTTTAGGGCCATAGAAATCTATTCATGATTACAGTATGCTGGCACATAGCGTATTTTGGAGTTGAAGGTACCATGCCTTCTGCTTCTGTAGCAAGTCTTTTTCCAGTACAGGACTAGGCACACAGGAGGTGCTCAGATACCAGTGAACTGACTGGAACAAGCTCTTATCCTTCTCAGCCTTTATGGAGGCAGGCTTTTTCCTTCTTAAAGAGTTAACTTCCTTTCCTTTCTCCACCTTCCCCTACTTTCCACCTCTTTGAAGACTATACATCTGGCTGAACCTAGGCATTCCCAAGTTCCCTTGCATTTACTGCTCTTGTCCCAGAGGACTGGGGCATTTGGAAGGACCCAGAGGCCTTCAGCACTTCCACCTTCACATTTAGGCCATGATCACACATATGGTTACCCCAGCAAATAGGAATGCACATGCACAGCCATGAATACTGACCGTGCGACCACAGCGGTTGTTATGTAAGTTCATGAGGGCCCGGGCATCCTTGAGCCTCTTCTCCTTGGCATCCACGAAGGCCTTGGCAAAGCGAACACCATAGTGGATGTTGTCACTGCAGCCACCCCAGTCAAAGTCCCCACGTTGGTCATGGTGTCTGCCACGGGTGTAGGGGTCACAGCTGCACACGCTCAGTTCACCCTGGCTACAGGCACGGGTGATAGCGTGGACCACGCCGGCTGATGAGATGGCATATACAAATGCTGCCTCCCGGCTACCTAGAGAGAGGAAGGGAGAAGTGTGTCTCTGGAAGGTCCCCTTCTTCAGCCCACAGAACCTCTGACTATGAAATTTCTCTTCCTTTTTCTTTCCTATAGCAGCCCTAGCACCCTCTTTATTCATATTGCCCTTCCCTTCCAAGAGCATCCTCCAGACTATGACCCCTTGCCATAGCCCTCACTGCTATCTATCCCCTTCTTTGTACGTCTGACCTCCTGGGCCGACCTGTACTCTTGCTTCCTTCCAAACTCCCTGGATCCGTCCATGAAAAAGTGTCAGGGTGCACCATCGCCTCCTGCGGAGTGCCAGCCCCGGCCCAGCTAGGCCTGCCTTAGTCCACAGTCCACGCCTTTTCAGGCCCACTCTGCTGGACAGTTCCCCAACAACAGAGACCCCAGCCCAGGGGTCAGCCTGTTTGGAAAGACAGGCTACTTTCCCCTGCCTGCTTCCTTCCTTCCCTCTCTCAGGGATTGATGAATCGTCACTGCTGTCCCTCTGACACCTCTGGATTCCTGTCTCATTCCCTTTCTCCTAGTTTACCTTCATCTAGCTCTGCTTAGCTTTTTTTGCTGAGCTGGGGCCAAGCCACGGACTCTCCAAATATTTACATATCCCCTTTCTGTTTATCCCTTGCTCCCATCACTGTAGTGCTGGGAGCACTGGAGTGAGGGCAGTGATGGTGGTGATGAGAACCTGGTCCTCAGCCTGACAGAGCCTGGAAGCCCACAGGCTGGGGGGTGGGGAGGGAGGAGAAAGGGAAGGGGGTGGGGTACGCAGGAACGTTGCTTCTTTGTCCCATCATCCCAGAACACTGGGACTTAGGGGAGCCCCTGGCTACATATCTAAAGTACTAAGGGTCTGTTCCCAACTGTATCCTGGGCTCTGCCCACAACTGTTTTCTCTGACTATGAAGTAGTGTATAGGGCAGGGGAGAGGGGATCACGCCTCCCCATCCACTCAACACCGCAAGCATAGAAAGCGCAGGAGGAGCTGGGTAGGGTGGAGGAGGCCCCTACTTCTGAGCATGACACGGCCAAAGACAGTGTGATCCCGGTCGAGGGTGGTGCAGTTCCAGCGGTGGTGGCGGAACTGGTGCTGGCACTCTCGGATCCATTCTCGGGCACCCTCGCCCACCGAGCGCATGATGTCTGGGTAACGCTGGCACAGCTGCCGCTGCCGGCTCACCAAACCAGGAATGTTGTCGCAGATCACTCGGGTCCCCAATGCCCCGATGTACCTGCAAGGTAGAGATGGACTTGTCGGAACATCTGGGCCCTTTTTCTGCAGCTGGAGAGGATTAAGGAGGGGAAAGGTTTGGCATGCAGACCTTGGAGTGGTTCCTTCCCTTTCCCAACCCACATTCCCTGAAGCTGATGGTAGAACCAGTCCCCACAAGCTCTGGAGAAATAGTTATATAGTTGCCGAGAGAGTAATTGAGTGGTCTCCCAGCATCACCAGTTCTCCAGCCAAGGGCCAAAGTGACACACACTCCCAGCATGCAGGCTACGCATGTGTCACATACACAAAAAGCTGTGGGCATATCACATAAACCCATTGCCTGTTTATTTAATAAACATTAAGAGTCTCATGGAAAAATAAACTAACAAGACGAGAGTTTGAGATAACACTTTTACACCCACATGTAAGAGGCATGTCCTATGTGGCTGGTCCATGAAGACGTGGTTTGGAGGAAGAAGGATTGAGACAGGGAGTGGCCACAGGAAGAGACCTAGAGGGCCACTCTGAGTAAGGTTTATAGCCCTAGTCAGACCCATGTAGCTAAAATCCTCATTTCCAACGCTGAGGTCTGGGTAGGAAGACCCCATTCCCAGCTCTCCTCCGCATACCCTTTATTTCCGGGCCATGGTCTCTTGTAACTCATGAGCCTCCTCCCCAGCCTATAGGGCAGCATGTCCTGCGTGGGCAGAGGGCTGTTGCTGTGGGAAACCAAAGGCCGAGGTAAAGCAAGACAGTGACACTCCTCATATTGCAGCCCCCAATTTGCCCAATATGAACTATTTTAAGATCATTTGGAGTGGCTACTAAAAGATGGGTGGGTTGCTAGAGTCCTTCTCAAATTTCTCCAGGCAATATTTTCTCTTCAAACACTCTTAGCCCTGGACTCCGCCATCAACCTTGGGAAGACCATTTCACACAGGAGACAGGACTATATCATCACCTTTTCTCCCCACAAGGCCACCAAATGAGATCTGACCCATTCATCCACTTCTCACGCCCTTTTTGTCTCTCCAACACCAAGCACCTTCCTTGATTTGCTGGGAATTCTCCATTCTTCTGTCCTAACACATCAAGGGACACCTTCTTTTCCCTTTTCTGAACAGGTGGGGGCCAAGGAGGGCAGCTGCTGCCATAGACAGAAAAGATTTTGGTTTGGGCTGTGAATGGGTCTGTGGTTTGGGAAAGGGACCAAAATGGGCCTAGAGGCGGGTGAGGAGAAGGGAGGGTGGCCAGTGGGTAATGGGGAAAAGCCGGACTGCCCTGGGCTCTATGGACCCCCTTGCCCCAACTCATACACCCCACCCTCGCCCACAGACTGGATCACCACTGGTGATACCAACTCAAACAAACACAAGGAGGGCTGAAGCTCGCCTCCTCTGGAACTCAGCAGAGCTGATGGGGCCCATCTGTCTCGGGGGAGGGGTGAGGGGGCTGAGCCGACACTGAGAAATCCCATGGAATCAGCGTCCCCAGCACTGTCCATCAGGGCAACAGCTTCCAGGAACAAACAAAATAAACACCCCAGGCTGGGCCAGGCCGGAAAGGGCCGCCTGACGCACAGCCTGGAGTTACACCCACTGCCGCGGTGCTTTGTTTGGAGATTCAAGACCGTTGGAGTTGGAGCTTGTCCCTGTCTCACCACCATTCTGTTTCCCCAGTTCAGCCTGAGTACTGCCCTAAGCAATGGGTGTTTGTGTGTGTGTGTGTGTGTGTGTGTGTTTTTTTTTTATTGGGGCTTGGGAAGAGAGGGTGGGAATGGGAGACCAGTAATCCAGCCCTCATGAGACAGTCTGGAGCGAGGCAGGCCAAACTCTGGCAAAAAGTCCTTCTTGTGGTCTGATTTAAATCCATTCTGCTGTAGCCCACATTGGTCCTCCTTGTTTCATCCCCACTGAGCGTGGGAACATCTGTTCAGTATCTAAGATGGGAAGACAATTAAGTTTCTTCTACTATGACCCCACTAAATAGCTGCTTCAAGATTCTGCAGAGCAGGGTGCTTGCCTGCTGACCAGTGAGAATGAGAATGAGCCCGAGCCCAGGCCCCAGCCCATCCCCTTCTCAGCTCAACACATGCCTGCTAATGCCTACCATGTGCCAGGCACTTAGCCCCGCTGTTAAGGGCACAAAGATGTTTAAGGCATTCCCCAGCTCATGGGCTGGGAGTGGAGTGGTAAGATATCCCTGACTCTAGCTTTGTTCACCCATCCAGAAGTTCTCACTTCCTTCCTAGCTTCCAGCCCCAGAATGTTTTCTTCACCTGCTTTGACTATCCCTTCCTTTGACGAAGTGATTCATATGCTACTCTACCAGTCTAGCCCCTTGCTGCTCCAAGTGTGGTCCCCAGAACAGGAGTATTTGCACTCCGGGGATCTCTTAGAAGTGCAGAGCCTCAGGCCCCATCCCAGGCCTACCGAATCAGGGTCTGCTGATCCGGACACACTGCTCCTGAAGGCAGGGATTTTTGTCTGTTTTGTTCACTTCAGTATCCCCAGTACCTAGAACAGTGTGTGGTACATAGTAGGTACTTAATAACTGTTTGTTGATTAAAACCTAACTGCTCTGATTTACCCTTCTCTTCTCCCCCTTAGCCAGTCATAAGCTTCCTTTCAATTACAGCCCTACTCCTTGTGGACATTGCCAGCCTAGCTGCAGATGGTTTATGTTTGTGTCTTGTTAATGAGGCCAGGGAGCCTCTTTTTATTCCCCCCTTTTATAGTTCCTAGTGTACACAGTTCAGCCCAGCCTAAACAGGGCTTTGAACACAGGGATAAAACTATTACCCTCCCCGAATCTCCTAATACAACATCATTTATGTGGTACCTTACAGTTTATAGAACATTTTTCTACACAAACATCCTGTGTGTGTGTGTGTGTGTGTGTGTGTGAGAGAGAGAGAGAGAGAGAGAGAGAGAGAGAGAGATCTCCATGTTACAGGTGAAGAAACTGAGGTTCAGGGAGACTAAGTGATGAAACCCAGCTCTGCTCATCAGAGCCAGTCAGAGGAGAACCAGGTGAACTGAGGACATCTGACTCCGAAGTCCTTTTCATTTTCATTCCAAGGACAGGAGAGGCTTAGCTAGGAGTAGGCCAATCTGACTTCAGAGCTGCTTGAACTTGAGTTCCTTGCCACTCCCTGCCTATCCCTCACTTTCTTCATGTGTGAAATGGGAATAATAGTAGTATCCACCACACTGGATTATTTGGGGGAAGAAGAAGGTGATGCTCATAGGTGTTTAGCTTTAGTGTCTGGAGCTTAGTGATGGCTCATTGCATGGCAGCTACTGTTGGTAACAATAATGTTAATGTTACACCACTCTGTTCTCTCCCTTTGTGAACCCATGACATGGTCCGGCTCTCAGGATTCCCTACACCCAACCCCCTGCAAAATGCAAAATGGAACAGGGAAGCACATGCCAGGAGCCCCCTGTTTCTTGTTCTGTTTGCTGTAGATTATGGAGAGACCATCATTTCGTCCTCCAGTTGAAGGTGGGAGAGGGAAGGCGTGGCTGAAGGGAGGGGAAGGGCTGGAGGAAGAGCGGGCTGTCGGCTGGTGAGAGCTGCGACCTGTGGAGGGGGGGGGGGCGGGGCACCGGCGTTCAGCGTGTCCACAGCGTCTCCCCCAGGGGTTTTTTCCTAAGGGGAAGAGACGATGCCCTTGGGGGCCCGGCCTGCCTGTAGAAAGCAGCTTTCCACTGTACCCCAGGAGGGACGGCCAGAGGCAGGCACCCGGGCCGCAGCTCTGGCGGGGGCGGTGGAGGCCGGGAGATGGAAATAGCCGCGCACTCGCTGCCTGTCCTGACCCCGCTGCCGCCTCCCCCGATTCACAGGGACCACTGAATCCCTCCGTTTCACCCGCCTGCCTCACTAGCTCACTCTCTCACCCAGGGTGTTTTTTTCCCAAAATCTTTAATATGAACCACGTGGGGGTGGGGAGTAGTAGAGAGAGAGGGTAAAAGGGACGGAATAGCCAAGGGGACAAAATGGGGACTGGGAAGCCCTCCAGACGGTCTTTGGGAACCACCCCAGCCTGCTCCAACTCCCAGACTGACTGACACTTCCTCACCTGAATACGACAGGGTCCCCAAGCAGCCCCCAAACTGGAAAGAAGGAATCAAGAGTCCCTAAGAGCAAACTGCCATCTGGGATGGATAAAGATGTTCATTCACCTTTTCTCTGCCGGGCCACTGAAGAGGCAGGTCCCCAGCCAGGCTGGGCCCTCGGAGGTGGAGGGTGGCCTGGAGCACGCTTTGGGCTCTGAGCTTTGAGGCTTCCGCCTCATCCCCCTCCTTCCCTTTCCCTTTCTGCAGGAATGTTTCAAGCCAGATGGAAGATACGGGCCTCCCTGCTCCCCCGTCCAGAACCCCCTCCTTGCCTTCCCCAACACTGCAGAGATAAAAAAGATCCAAAAGAGAGATTTTTCTGAAACAGGAAAACGGGGTGGGGGGTGGGGGGGGGGGGGGGGAGGGCGAGAGAGACGCATCTTGAAATGATAGGAATCCTCGGCCGCGCTCGAGGCCCCACAGCCCGCCACCCCTCATCCTTTCAGCCAGGATTCCGAGTCCGGGGCAGAGAAGCCACGGGGCGCGAGGGGGGCGGAGGAGGCGGCACTTTGAGGTGGTGATGGGGTGGGGGAAGGGCAGGGTGAAGCGAGGAAGGGGGCGCTGCGCGGCAAAGTGGAGCCATGGCGCAGGAGACCCCTTCAACGGGGGATTGGCGAGGAAAGGTGAGGCGACTGGGCCTTTCTCAGTCCAACTCCCCCTGCCCTGCTCCTGAGGAGAAAGATGAGCACCACCCAGGGACTGGGAGCAGGGCGTCAGGAAAGAACGGACACCTAGTCGGTTTGTGATGCCTTTGGCTCATCTGCCCTCTTGTGAAGTGTCTGGGGTCCAGGGCCTGCAAGAAATGTGAGGGTAGGGTCTCAGTGTGTTGGGACGCCAGACGCCCCTAGTTCTTGGAGGGGCGGGAGAGGCCATCGGGGAAGAAAAAGCGGAAGCCGGGAGGGAGATGGCAAGGTTCACAGTGACATCCTTAAAACAGAGGCTGAAGGCAAATGCATAAATTATGCAAACCCAAGCGTTTCGTTTTAATTGTGGGAGTTAATGGGGGTAGTTTTTGCCACGACGCCGTTTCTGAACCTTGCCCTGAGCGCCGCGGCCACACCGGGGCCGTGCTGCCTTGCTGGGCTGGCGGGCTAGCAAGGCTCTGCCGCCCTCCGCCGCCTCCGCCGCCTCCAGTCGCCTCCGCCGCCCAGGGCAGCGACCTTGGGTGATGAGGGGTTTTTGCTGGACGGCCCCAGAAGGCCCCAGAGAGGTGACTGCTGTCTTGAACCCACCCTGAGAGAAACTCGGAAGGTTGCTTTTGCCCTAAAAGGACTGAGCTGAAGTACGGGCACGGGCACAGCATCTGGGGGCTTGGAAATCCTCCGCCACCGGGTGTCCTTGCCTCAAATACCCAGTGCCTTCCTCCTGGGGAGAAGGCGCGGCGCCCCCCTGCCGCCTCCACCTCTGTCCCCGTCGCTCCGCAACTTCGGCGTCAGCCCTTCCCGGAAGGTCTCCAGCTCCGTCGAGGCGCTGCCCCAGTCTCCTGAGCTGCCCCAGTCTCCTGAGCTGCGGGTGCCGGGAGTGGGGTCTTCCCTCCGGGCGCCTCCGGCCTCTTTGACCCGGAGCCTCACCCTCCCAACCCTGAGAGTCACACTCACCACCAGGATGTGTCCACGCGGGCTGGCAGCGTCAACAGCAGCAAGAGCAGCAGCAGCAGCAAGCAGGCAAGACTTAGGCGGGCTGAAGCCCGAGAGCCGTCGGGGGCCGCGGGTCTGGGCGCGGGCGCGGGGACCGGGGCCCGGGCGCGCCGAGGGGGGAGCTGCGCGGCGTCCTCCGCACCACCCGGCTTCAGCATAGCTCCCCAGACTCCCGCGGCGCGGCCCGGAGGGGCGAGGACGCGGCACCGGCTGCGGGTACTCGGGCTGCTCCTACTCACCCCCCTGGGGGGCCATAGACTCGCAGTCGGCGGGGGACGTAGGGGCACCTAGACTCCAGGAGTCGGGAGCCGGGTCCCGGAGAGGGGCGCAGCGTGCTGTGTCCGGAAGCCGACGACAGCGCGCTGAGCTCGGGGACTGGGACGCGCCGCCCGGGCCCGGGGTGCGGTGTCAGGGGGTCGGTGGCGCGGAGTAGGGCTGCGGGTAGAGTGTGCGGACAGCCCCTCCAGCCGCGGGCTCTCATTGGACGGCGCGGGGCGGGGCCGAGGCTGGGGACACGCGCGGCCCTCAGGGCGGCTCCGCCCGCGCGGCCCCCCGGCCCTCCGCTGCACCCTAGGTGTGGCGGCAGCCTCCGCCCCCCGGCGGGCGCCGCGGCCCTGCACCGCTCCGCTCCCCAACCTGCTCCGGCGGGGTGCAGGGGTCGCGGCGGCGCCCCACTGCGCCCAGGGCGCCCAGTCCCTGCCGACACCGCGCCACCGGGTCCTAGCGCCCTTCATTCGGCAACCCTAAACGTGGGCGGCGGCCGCGAGCACGGAGCAAGGGCCTGCAGGCACTTCGCCCTGTCCGCTAGCCTACAGTGGCCCTGGGCTGAGCACCGGGGGCGCACACATTTCCTCGGGTCCTCTCTCGGTTCCTGCGCTCCTGTGAAATGGGCAGAATCGGGAAGTTGCGGGAGAATCTTTACTCCCTTTTCAACGGTGCCGGCAGGGCGCTCTGGGCAGCCGGTTCAGGTAGGGGCTTCTCTCCTCCAGGGCTCGTTGCCCCTTTCCCCCGACCCACTGTCCGCCGCACCTCACCAGCCAACTTTTAGACTTGGCTTCGCCCGCCCGCCCGGCCCCGCGGCTTCCCTGCGGCCTGGGGACCGGCAGTCGGCGGCCAAAGCAGAGGGGGCACACCTGCGGCCCGGACGCGGACTCCGCGTTACAGCCCGGGCCCCGCGGAGCGTCGTCACCGCCGGCTTCCCCGGTACCTCGGTCCCCCACCCCCTGGGGCGGGGCTGTGAGAAGGAAAGAATCAGAAACAGCTGGGCGGCTTTCCCTAACGGAGGCCGGGGCGGGGGTCCTGCCGAGAGAATGGAAGCCCCGGAGCCATTTCTCCCCTCCGCCGCTCCCTGCCCTCCTCCCACCCCCCCGCACACCGCCTGGGGGCCTGGTAAATCGGGAAGGGGTGGGAGGTGTTGACTGCCGAAGCGACTCCCCTCATCTCCCCACCAACACACACACCGCTCCCCGCCCCGCCCCTGCCCCGGCCCGCCCTTCCCTGGCGGGCAGGTGGACCCTCTGGGGCAGAATGGCTCTTCCAGACAAGTAAAAATTCTTCCTAAAGCCCTGGGTCTCCAACTTTGGGAGTTTGTCTGGGATCTGGCCCCGACCCCTTCTCTAGCCTCAGTTTCTCCCGCCTAGCCCATCATCCCCAGGTGTCCTCCATGTCTCTCCCCTTGATTTATCTAAACTATTAAGCCCTGGTGTAAACAACGCTGTGAAATTGCCCACCCCCCCACCCCCAAACTTAGTGTCAGTTTTTGGTTGGGGGTGTGGGAGACGCGGGAGTGTGAGCGGACAGGGCGCAGCTGGCAGCGGAGACACTGCAGACATCCCGGAGGCAGCCCCCGGGAGAAGGGCTCACAGGGACCTTGATCCCTCCTACCCACCTCTTACTGCTTTACCCTCACTTTCTGTGTCGGGGGGAAGGGGGGGCCGAGCGCATTCATCAATTCCACAAATATTTATTTCTTCCCTACCGTGTGCCAAACTGCGCTCAGCACTAAGGGACACATCAGTGAACAAAGCAAAAACAAACAAAAACCCCCCCAAAACAGTTTCTGCTCTCATGGAGTTTGCCATTTATTGGGAGAAGATAGACAATAAACAATAAACATCATAAGTAAAACATAGTATTAAGAAAGCCATAAGTGGGAAAAAATAGAGTTGTAACTAGGATGATCCAGCAAAGGCTTGAAGGAGGCAGGGATCAATCCAGGCAGATAGTGGGTGAAGAGCAACCCAAACTGAGGGAAGAGCCAGCCGGCTGGAGCCGAGAGGAAGGCGTGTGGAGGAGCAGAGTTCAGGTGGGTAGCAGGGCTGGGCCAGGCTGCGCAGGGGAGGAGGTGCCCACCCTGGGGGAAAGGTGGAAAGTAGAGCTGGACTGGAGTTGGATGGGAGAGGGAGAGGGCTGAATCCAGAGACCAACCCCTGACCGTTCCCCTGCCCTTCTGTCCTTTTTCTCAGTCTGAGGGGCTACAGTTGACCCTTTACATTTCTTGAAAAAGCAGCAGACATTATGCTGAGCTCTTGTGACAGGGGCAGGTGAGAGACGAGAGGGCCCAGGCTCATTCCTGGCCTGGTCCCTTCCCTTGGACCACTCTTTCACCTCCTCCCAGCCAGTCCCACCCTGATGCTGGGCAGCAGTCTGCAGGCTTTAGCAGCCTCTCCCAGACTCCCCTGTGTGCTTAGGCCTGGGTGTGACTCTGGCCCCGTGTTCATTTCTACATATGGGCCGGAGGTTGCAGGGTGGGGAGCTGGAGATGATCACATCAGCCCTAATCTTGGGTGGACTCACCCACATGAGCCCCAGACTCACTTATGAGGCCCCTTCTTTGGCTTCAGCTGTCTTTATAGTCAAGTGGGACCGTGTCTTGGCACAACACATAGATGCTCAACTATTAAAGCATGTTGCTGAGCTAGGGTGGAGGAGGTGTTCAGAAACATCAGTAGCTTCAAAAGGGAAGTGGGTGAGGAGACAAGACTTTCCCCAACGCTCACAGGCTACCCCTGGCCTAGAGTGGACAACCCAGGAGCGGGCTTCACTCCTTCCTCTTCTCCTTACCCTCCCTTCTGAGCTCCCCTCCTCGCCCTCCCCAGGAGTAACCCCAGGCTGCAGGAGCCAGCTGACTGCAGAGCTGCACTCAACCACTTAACCAGAGAACAAATACAGAGCCAGAGAAGAGGTTTTCTGGGATCTGCCACTTTGGAGCTTCAAATCTCAAAATAAACTTCCAGTCTCAAGGTCCTAGCCACTACTGGAGAGCTCGGCTCCTCACGCAAGAGTTTGCTGTGGGACTTCCAGGCAGAGGGTCAAGGCCAGGGGCTCGGCTAGTGCTTGACCTGCTCCTCGCTCCCATCCCTATCCACTCCACCACAATGGGAGCCAGGGGAAAGTCTCTGATTAGGGAGTCAAATTCTGCTCTGGAGGGGCCTGCGTGGAGTCCTGGAGGCACTTACGGAGCACCTGCTGTGTGCCCAACACTGGCCAGGGCATCCTGAATGACATTGAAGGAGCAAAAGGGCATTTTCTTGCAAATAAAATAAAGCCATCTGAGGGTGGCACACCAGGCTTGGCTGTTGGAGGCTTAGGCCGCAGATGTCAGCAGAGACCCCAAGGAGAATCCCAGGCGCCCTCTCGCCCAAGGCTTCTGATGCCCTGGGCCTCCTGCAGGGCTGGCCCTTCCTTCTCCCTCAAGGTGGCATCACAGTCTCCCGCCCTCTCACCCCGGGGGTCTCCCCTCATACTCTGCTCCCCCGTTGAGCCACTTAGACTAAAGATTCATCTTCCTTCACTCTATTCTCAGCTGTGTGCGACTGAGCAATTATGAATTTCTACTGGCCCTTGGAGGGGAGTGGAGATGAGCTCTGAGAGCTTGGGTACAGATAAACAGCTTTTATTCCACTGGGCCTGCCTACCCCAGAGGTGCCCCCCCAGCCCCCGGCCCCGGGCCCCTTTGGCGATGACCTTCTCTCTTTCCTGGTGGGTGGGAGGTGGTGTGGATGGTAATGAGCAGAGAGAAAGGCCGAGAAGGGGCTGGGGGGAGGGTTGGATGGGAATCAAGGAATTCCTGCTCCTGCTGCTTGCACAAGGGCCCTGAGCCGCCTTTCCTGAGATTTCTTTGCAAACCGAGGCAAGTCTCATTTGAAATGGGGCCAGGTTCACAAAGGGATCCCCTGCACCCCACCGTGCCCAGCCCCGACCCTGTCTCTCCCTCCTCAGCATCCCCATGCAGGTATCTACGGAAGAGAAGGGAGCTTGGGAAGAACCCAGGGGCTTTTAAGGGGGGTAGGGTGGGGATCTATGTTTTCTACATAGCCTGACCGGCCTCTCCTTGGTATTTATGAGCTCCCAGGCGAGGCATGGAACATGTCTCAAAGAGGCCAGGCCAAGAGGGCGTTGGAAGGAAGGAGCATCCAGCCCCAAGCCAGTGAAGGGGGCTTGGTAGGGCAGGGACCTCCCCTTCCTCCCAGCCAGTGACCAAATGGGTATAGACTGCTCCCCCAAGGGGCCCTGGAAAAGGAAGAGAGGGAGCTAAGGAAGAAGGGCTCCCTAGCCCTTCCAGAGAGGGGAAGGAGGAGGGGAAGCTTGGGAGGTGGGACCAAGGGGGCGGGGCATGGGGGTCTGGAGCCTTTTAGCACTTTGGCTGTAATCAAACTGCAGCCAGGCCATGGGCGGGCTGCCCGCCATCCTGGGCGGGTGGCCCAGGTTCTGTGTGAGGCCAGTGGGTGTGCTGTAGGGATCCTGGGTGGTCACTGACCAGCCTAACCCCAACGGATGGTGGTTCCCACTTTGCTTCCAGCTCCCCCTATCCCAGTCTGCATGTATCAAGTAGGCTAAGCACTGAGCTTTCCTTCTCTCCCCACCACCTGTTCTGGGCCCCAGAGTGACCTGTGGGATTTGCTTCCAGTAGACCCAAAGCTACAGAGCCCACCATCTGCTTCCCCCTACTCTGTCTTCCTCAGTTCACCCTGTCTCCTGCTCTCCCCGCGTCCCCTCTCTGTGTCTCTCTGGGTCATATTTCTGCAATTCTGTGTCTACTCCTATCTCTCCATGTTTGCCTGTCTTCATTTGTCTCTGTGTCTATGCGTGCCCTTCCTCCTGTCTGAATCTCCTTATCAATCTCTGTCACTGCCTGTCTCTTGGTGTGTACCTGTGT